TGATAGTGAAAATTGTGATTGGCATATTTTAATTAGCCAGGTCAGGTGTTTCTAAAAAGGCTGATAACACTGTAGCAATGTGAGGATACATTCAAATTTATTACATAGATAATGCACGTGGAGCTCAGCTCGCAGAGACAAATGAGAACACGGTGACTTTTTGATATCCTTTTTACTCTAAGAAAAATGTCAATTATTAATTGCTGACTGTTTATATTTTCTAGAAAAAGTAAGCAAAACATTATTTTGTTTCATATGACAGGAATGAATTACATTAACAATCCATAACTGCAAATCGGCTCTTACTCGACAGTAATTAGTGTAGCCAATTTTTCATGAAGAGACCAGTGCTGATAGTGATAATTATGATTGGCATATTTTAATTAGCCAGGTCAGGTGTTTCTAAAAAGGCTGATAACACTGATGCAATTTGAGTACATATTCAAATTTATTACTTAGATGATACACGAGGATTTGGTAGAGACAAATGATTACATAGTAACATTTTGATATCCTTATAAAAATGTTTATGACTGTTTTTATTTTCTAGAAAAAATAAGTTTCATATAATAGGAATGAACTGCATTAATAATTCAAGATATTATGAAGATGTGAATAAAATAATTACTGTGATTACATTACTACAGTTAAGTAATTTGACCCGATCCACCTGTAGACACATGTTTGTACGTGACTGCTGGGGAAAAACAATGTTATGCTTAATTAAAGAGGTGACATTTCTATATTTTTATCTGATATCGAGTTGTAAGAGCCGATTTGCAGTTATATGGGTAAGAGTTTGATAAGACTCCCTACGGTCGTCTTAATACAAACTCTTACCCATACTAGGCATTGTTGAAAACTCATTGTTTTACATGCCAGATTAAGTAATTGGACCCCATCCTTGTTTGTACGTGACTGCTGGGGAAAAATAATGTTATGCTTAATTAAAGAGGTGACACTTTCTATATTTTTATCTGATATCGAGTTGTAAGAGCCGATTTGCAGTTATATGGGTAAGAGTTCGATAAGACTCCCTACGGTCGTCTTAATACGAACTCTTACCCATACTTATTGAAATTACGCTCTAATAACTAAAGGTTTTATATTTTCGATATAATTCTTTTAAACTGTTTCTGATATTGTGCTTGGGACAATTAATTTGTTCATGCATATGCCGCAAACCACGTGGGAACTGAATGACTCTAGTTATTCATGCATAAAATGTAGAGCAAAAATGTAAATGTAGCTAAAAGACCCAACCTAGGTATAAAAGGGAGGTAATGGCTGGTGGGTGGTTTCCCTTGAATTTTTAAACTGTATTCAGCTCAGGGAGAGATTTTAAATATATTTGCAGTAAAATGCCATTATTTGCCAATGAAAAAATTCCTAAATGAAGCCAAATGATTAATCTATGACTCTAGATAAGAAATTTGAAAATGTATGAAGAAATATGTTCTTATAATTTAATATCAAATGATAACAGAATTCAAATTTGAACTAAGGGGAGGAGTTTATTATGTAAATAACCATGTGACCACATTGTTTGTAAACATAGCAATGTGATCACATGGGAATCCATACACATACAATAAGTACATCAATGTATTACTTACTTGATAAAATGGTTTTTTTCTAAGGTTTGTCAGAATAATCCACTTTGCATCACATGAATTGTAGTTTATATCAATAAAAGTGCATAAATCCAGTACATTTCACAATGAAAACATACAGAAATGATAAAATTCTTTGCTTGTTTTTCTCACTATTGTAAGTATATTAATTTTACAGACACATTATATTGAAGTTATAAATACTAGTAGTAATTCTAAATGTCATCAACTAAGGACAGAAATAGTGTCCTGTGTATGATTGTACCAGTAGATTAGGATACAGTTTCCTTTCTTTATTTAACACAAAATTTTGAATTACATGTTCTCTAGTTGAACGAAAAAAAGAGTGCTCAGAAGTTATCATTTTTTCAATGGAGAAATACATTGGTTCTTAGTTACTTCCTTTCACACCAAGCATAGCGTCTTTACATAATTGAACAAAAGATTTTTTATCGGATTTTTATTAAAATTTATTTAGCTTTATTTCCTTGACCTTTTTTCCATGCAAGGACTTTTCTTTCACATTTACACATGAGGAACAAAAACATTATTCACATGAAATAGTAAAATCAGAATCAAAATCATTAGTTTCATCTGCTCTTTGTCTTATAAAAAATAATACTATAGTTAGCTATCTCTTTGATGGCGTAAGCTATATTTCCAGTTTCCTTTGACATGTGAGCATTGTCTATGACCTCATTTCTTTTCTCTAACATTAGTGACACACTTTTTCCAAATTCTAACAGAGATTCAATGGTTTGTTTCTGCTCTTAGTGACCAGTAAAAAAGACAAAATAAATTTATCCATTTATACTGAATAACACAAATCACTGAAAACACCAAACAAAATTACTATTTTCCTAGCACACAAAATCCCTCCTAAACTGATTTCAGACACAGGTCATCTAAATATAGAAGATGCAAAATATGTAAGGTATGGAAGGTATAAATTTGTAGTCACATTTATTGTTAAATATCAGTATGTAAGTAAAACATTTGTATCAGCTTTAAAATGAGAAAACAATTTTTCACACTGTTTGTCTCAGAAAACCTGCACTAATTAGATAATATATTAAAAACAAGACTTTACAAGCCCTGTCACCCCTTCTGTATTGTAGTGTTGTATGCCAATTAAACACAGAAATGTGATATTTTGTTTTATCTCTGCTGATAGCAGCATAAAAATACACTTTCTAATTAAAAAATACCTGAGGTATAAAATTATATACCAGAAATCATACCATATAGTAGTTGTTAATGGTCACAACAGGAAATATTACAATAATAGATATATCTGAACATTTGGCATCAAGGGATAAACTTGAAAGTCCTCAAACTGGAAAACTACAACTGGTGATCAGAAATTAGACTCTCTCTGAGAAAGGTAGATTTTTTTGTGTAAAAACCCATCGTCTTCTTTAGCTATTTTTAGAAACAGTACACTTAGTCAGCTTTTGCTGGACGTCTATCACTGATAAAACAATGTAGAAAGAGGGTTCATTTGCATCCGATAGTCTGATCGGATGTTGGGGGTCACAGGTGCTCGTCCAGTCTTGGTGCCAATATAAAAAAATGAAGTTTAAAAAAAAAAATTGAAAAAAAAAAAAAATTGAAAAAAAAAAAAACCATCAAAATTACTATTTTGGGTTGAGTGTAAAGAAAAAAAAATTTGAAAAAAAAAATTTTTTTTTTCCTATATACTTTTACTACGAAAAGGTCACCGAGTCGCCGTAACGCTACGGAGCTTTACTAGGACACACTGTGGAACAACCACAATGTCAAGTTCTGTAACAATAAAAGCTATTTTGCTACTCTTTACACATTGTGCATTGAGAAAATTGTTAACATTCTTATTGTACCTTACATACAATCTTGAATAACTTACATTTTAACTCGGACACTCCAATTTGTTAAAATTTTGCAAAACAACAGTGATTGTCGGCCATTTTGTCGAAATCGAAAGTACAAAACATACACCGTACTGTTTTGCTGTTCTGGTTCCCTATGACTACGTTCGCTGAACAATAGACAACAGTAACCAATAAATTGATGGTTACCGTTGTCTACTGTTCCTCGCACGAAGTCGTAGGAAACCAGGAGAGCGAAACAGTACGATGTATGTTTTGTACTTTCGGTTTTGACAAAATGGCCGACCATCAACGGAATTTTGCAAGATTTTAACAAATTGAGTGTCGGAGTTAAAATGTAAGTTATTCAAGATTGTATGTAAGTTAGATGAAGAATGTAAACAATTTTCTAAATGCATGATGTGTAAAGAGTAGCAAAATAGCTTGTTTTGCTACAGAACTCGACATTGTGATTGTTCCACAGTGTGTCCTAGTAAAGCTCCATAGCGTTACGGCGACTAGGTGACCTTTTCGTAGTAATGGTATATAGGAAAAAAAAATTCAAATTGTTTTTTTCTTACACTCAACCCAAAATAGAAATTTTGATGGTTTTTTTTTTTTTTTTTTTTCAAATTTTTTTTTTTTTTTTTTTTTTAAAAACTTCATTTTCTTTTTAAATGGGCACCAAGACTGGACGAGCACCTGTGTTGGGGGTTTAATTAGAAGAATCATTGGGTAAAAAGTGCTATTTGACGCAGAGTGAAATCAAAACAAACCCTAACTTGTTACTTTCTGGAAATGATCATTTAAAACAACTATTTCATAAATAATTGTCATGTTTTTAAAAATAAAAAAAAAATTATTACACTAATTGACCGATATCATTGATCAATTTCCTCTGAAAAAAATTTCTATAACCGATGACACATAACCTATAACCGATAAAATGGGTTTAAAGTTCCTTGGACCCTTTCGATGCACTCCGATGTCCGTGTCAAAAACCTATGTCAGTAAAGAAAATGCTTGCGTAAGGGATCACACTGCACCTATCTTCTGAATATATCTTTTTAGCAACGTTTGGTGTTAATTTGCTTAAACAAATGTAAATTAATTTGTTTACATATTTGTGATATTGAATTGTATGCTTTTATATATGACTATCATTGTAAATTTGAATATACTTTTTCTAAAATTGTTGTAGTAAATGACTGTCATTGTACACTCGAAGTGTACTCCTAGTGTTCTCAAGAAAATGATAATATTGCTACTAAACTTCTTGCACTCTAATTAGTTCGGGTTTAATATAAAGAAACATCAACATTTATTCAATAGCCCGATATTCGTGCGTTGGCACATCGAACAAACATGTTTTCATTACTGGTCGTAAATTAAATGTTTTCTTAATTTTATGTAGTAAATAGTGGTTACTCTACTGAGTTTTATCTTACATCTAACATAGGGTTAATATGTTAATAAACAGACAAATTGTGATCCTTTCTTTATCAGCTTATTAAATAGAACATTTTGAAATTGTTCTTAATAAAGAAACATTCTGCACGAAGTTATAAGGTCAGAGATTTAGGCTATGACTTTTGTACATCAATGTCATTACGCCTTTTAACATGGTGATTGGTATTTTGATATTCCTCGTTTTCCAACCAGCCGGAGCAGCAAGTTCTGACGTGGACCAGTGGTGTTACAACCCGCCTGGTACTGATTGTTCTTGGTACAAACAGTGTCTTGTGGTAAGAATTTCGAATGAATTTATTTTCTAAGTGGATTTGTCTACAATGGGAACATTTTCTCAAAGTATTTTAAAATTTGATTAAAACAATAGAAATGTATCATTTGGATTTTCTCTTTTTCTATTGCTTGAAAAAAATGTTGACAAAGTTCTATGTAATTTAATATGATCATTTATATGATGAATAATACTAATTTGTTTTACATCTTCTTAATTTCTGCCATATAAATTTTAGCAATGTCGGATCACACACAAAGTTCACACTTCCCAACAGGTAGACCATGCTATGCTTCAACCGATTAAGAATTGTATTCACATTAAGAAAAACTTTACACGAGTAACGTCATGCATGTAAAATATTGCTGATAAACGCTCAGTACAAATGCTGAAGTACGGATTTACATTAAAGTTCAGGCAGAGCAAAGCTAGGAATATCTGCTTTGAATGTTTATAATGACATTTATAATACCGGTATTTATAGCAGCAGCAATGAAGTATTTAATTCAATTGTGTTAAGATAGTTGGATATATTAAAAATGGGCACTATTCAATTAAAGATGCCTGTAAGACTGGTAGAAAATGCTCCATAGTTACTGCCAAAAATCGTTAAGGTTATCATTGGCAAAGATGCCAGCTTTGCATGATTTGGATCCCCAAAAATTGTAGATCATGCATTGCCAAGCGATAGGCTAGTGTCAAGAAACTTATGTATGTTACTTTTTAATACCCATGGAACTGTTGTCCAAATAGCTATTTCTAAAGATCATTTAGTCACATTCAAGTATTAAAGAGATGTCTTGTTAAGAAAAAATAAAGAAGAAAAAAAAACACTTCAATAAAGTTCGGCATAAAAGGCCTGTATTTGTTGCATGAAATAACCCCTGCACACAAAGGAGCTACTGTATACTGTTAATGATGCTTATCCGACAGGAATGAGTGATTGTCCTCAATAACATCCGTATTCTCCAGACTTGTTTGAGCCCTTAAAATTACAACCATATATGCTCTATATATCATATTCCGGCAAAATCCTACTCTTGTCATCATCCAAAATAAGTATCTATAGAATGGAACTTGTTCCAGTAACAAAAAGTCTTTTTAGAAAAATTATGATATTTTCTATTATACTTGTTTTATACTTGTTCACCATTTAAAGTAACAACTTAACTTGTTCTGTATATCCTATACCTTCAAAATCCCAATCTTGCAATCAACAAAAATAAGCATCATTAAAATGGAACCTTACTCACAAAAAATGTTCCATTACCAAAATGTCTTTTAAGAAAAGTAAGATATTTTATATTATTAGTGGTATTTCGATACATGAGAAAATGATATTTCGTCAGTGTCTATAAGTAATGCTTCAGTCTCTGGATTCAGTAAACACTCTGTTTCGTTTTGCAGCCACATAACACAACATTTTACTTTCCTAGATTTTATGTGCCGTTAATAATGTATGACTTTAATTTCTGTGATATTTGATAACCGTTTTATAATGTCACTTGATATTGAGCAGATCATATAAACCAAATGAATATTTTCCTTCAACTATTTTATATACAGTTTTAACATCAACAACATTTTTAATATTTGAAGTGTAAGTACTTTATATAATTGACATTTATTGACTAGCATATACATATATTATTAAGTTTACTGGATGGGTCTCTATTTGCAATATATGCAAACATGTATATGTTCTTAATGCAATTGCGTGTTTTGTCTGACAAGATGTTAAATTAAAGAAGTAAATTGTACGAAGTACTGAAATATCTTACTATTGCACGGTAGATAAACATCAATTCTTTGGAAATGGTAGATTAGAACGTTAATGATATATTATTAAATTGAATAAATTCATTACAATTATTCATTTCTATTTTGAATTATATGCATGTCTGCATTTTAACAAATTATATTGTGTACACTTATATACAGGATTTTTTTTATAATAAGTAATCGCCTTAATGTTAAATCGAAAAATACCATTCCCAATAACTGTAAATCTGATTCACGTGTAGAGACTTTGTTTGGCGGGTAGTAGTGATTATTTAATGCCGAAGAAAATAATATGAAAATAATAAAAGATATTATGATTACTTTATAAGAATTTATTTTAGTTCGATTGTTTTGGAAGCTATAAGCTTATTGTACCACTTTCGAATCAATTCCTGAAACCAACAATCCGTATAAAGTTTCTTTGTTCACGTAACAACGGCTTGTCTCTAATGGGATTTGAAATCACACGGCGAGTGATCCTTAAATCACTAATAATCCGGCACCATAGCAACTAGGCCATGCCACAACAGGTCATTATGATTGAACACACAAGTATCATAATTTTTAGGGAAGTATGTAAGAAAATAATGAGTAAACATATCAACGTCCAACAAGAGAAACTGAAATCTGTCACATGTTTTAATATAACGATCTTCTTTTTTAGGTGAATTTTCATAAATAATGGTTACAAAGATTATTGAAATACGAAACGTAATACCGTCTTAGATTACTTGTTACATTTGAAATTCCAATCAGATAACGTTTTTTCATCTAAATATATCTTTCCGGAATGCCATGGATAATATGATAAAAGTTGTTATCATGCATTAAATCATTCGAACTTTATACAAGTAGTACAGCTGTACTTTGAAAAGCAACCCAATTATTTGTTTTCTCATTTTTGGTCCTACTCCTATGACGTCAAAGCTTTTCGTTTTGATAAAAGTGTTATTATTTTTAGAAACGGTTTCCGTGTGAGGCGGCCAATGATTCTTACGCCATAGGTTTTGGAGATACCATTTGCAATGACTTTGGCAAAAATCGACCTGATTTTTCCGACCTCGGAAAGCGTTGGATAGACGAAACAAGAGCGTGCCTTCAGGTTTTTATTTCATAATTTTAACTAAGGCATATCTAGCATTATTAAGAAAAGACCAAACGATACATTTTTATTTTCTTCGAGCATAGTAATATTCGTTTACAGCAAAATTATTTCATGAAATGTTTCATCTAAAAAAGTGGGGTAAAAGACATTTGGCGAATTGTGTTTTTATGTGAATGTCGGTCATCAAGTGTGTAAATATTAAACAAATATTTGATCAAATCAACAACACACCTGGTATATTTTTGTTCATGTTTCATATTATTTGTTTTGCGCTTGTTCATGTTATGGAAGAACAAACAACGGCTTACTGCTCATTTTCTTTACAGTTCATTGTTTATATATCTGTCACATCTCATCTCTCAAATAAATTGAAATCCTTATATCTTCAGAAACAACTGGTTCCGCTTTTATCAAGAGACAATATGACATGTCAAGGGATCCAAAAGTTCGCTTTTCAGACACATTCATACTGCTACAGCACACCTCCAAAAGGGTCCCCGTCGTTCTGTGATCTACCATTCTCCGACTGGTTACATATTTCGTGGATTGTCAAACAAAGTCTTTTTCGTGAAACCTCAGAAACTGTTAAACAAATATTGCAAATTCTTGGAAGTTGTGCATCTACTGGTCTTTTTGGAAAGTAATAACATTTTTCGTTATTCAGATATTTGACATATTTCATATGTTTATCGATTTATCCACAATGATTTCAAACAACAATTGTTAAAGGTTTATAATTTGTTTCTCTTTTGAGATCATTTTATAGAATTTGTACAAAAATAAAACAATATGATGAAGTTTTATTTATCTTATCACTTGAAGTCGTTTAACTTTAAAGCTTAAACCATCAAATAAATCTAGGTGAAAGATATGAGCTCGTTAGATAGTGCACTTTCTCCTTTGCTGTTGATCGTATTTGATCAATATTTCAAAGTTTTACCTTACGTATACTTCAAAATATGACAGCAACAGATGAACATATTGTACACTTACACTCATTCAAAGTAGGCTTTTTACTAACATATATAAATGATAAATTTTGAAAAGAAATATATTATTCAGATGTAAATAATCGCATTTGCTGGAAAGGTTATCAAAAACATTTTGTTCATGCATCTTATCAGCCACAAAAAACTTAAACTTTCACATTCTAATTTAAAATGAATAATAATTCAAGAGGATAATAATTTTAGTGACTTGCACAATATAGCCGAAAGAAGATTTTGGGACAGAACTCCAACAGATTTTTTTTCTCTAAATGATAAACCTGTCTCTCATAGGTTACGGTGGTTTAATACACGTTTGTGTCTCTTAACGCGTTGTAGAGAATGTTCTGAAATAACATTTAGATATTCCTGTTTGGAATATAATAAAAACTATTGCATAAATCCTTATATAGACAGAATTAAATGTTAGTAATTTTCTACTACCTTTGTGCAAACGAAATAAAAACAACAAATGAATTGACCGTCTTGATATCAATCTTAAGTCAAAGTATGTCCCCAAACTTATTGACCTTCGTAAATTACTAGAAAGTAGCACTTTGTCATACATCCTCATTCTGCTAACCTAATTAGCGAGTGTAGCTTAAAATAATGATACAGACGGGTTTTCTTTCTCTAATCAGCGGTCAACTTAAATTTGCAAGAACAGCAAAATATCTAGTCAAGGTTGTCCGGTACAAGAATCTAGTACAGAACTTTTTTTTTTAAAATTTCCCGATAAAGTTGGGGTCGCGTTCATCAATGATCTGCAATTTGGCTGTCTCTTCATTAATAATCAAACACTTATTCTTTAGATAAAAATGCAATAATTTAATTATTATGCTATGTATAAAATATATATAATTAAAAAAGATATACAGCTATCGGTTATACTTCTGGTAATCAAACTGTCGTAGATTTCAATTATAATGTAAGAAATTATTGTATGTTATTATTATCATGTCTGACCTGATAATAACAGGGTGCAGAATACAGCCTTTAATTTTGGTAAACATTTGATCTTTTCCAGAAATAAGGTATGCAAACCTTATATACACTGTATAATGTCAATTTTTCCCTTCGAAGAAGCAGTTTATGAATGTTCAGTCTCACAAAATGTTTCATGATTGGAAATAATTACTCTGCCAGGAAATACTCTTTGTACAGTAGTTTATGAGTTAAACAGTTTTCATCCATCTGCTGAGTCTACTGAAAATGTGTACCAAGTTGAAAATTAATATGCGAACCACTCCGGGAAATAAGTAGAAAGAAACAATTCATTTCATTTACTAAAAATGAGCTACCAAGCAATATTTATTTATTAAAAAGTATCTGTATGCGTTATTAATCTTACGAAAATGTTTTTATCGAAAGATTTCTTTCTGGGGCCAGTTTCTCAAAGCTCTGTTAAATTAAACCGTCCGTTAAATTAACAGTTCATTAAAATAGCTAACCGACTTAACAGTCGGTTAAAAACTTGTTGCTCAAAACTTTTTAACAGGAGTGTTAGGAGTGTTAATTAACACCCCTGTTAAATTTTAACCAGCGGTTAACAGGTTGATTCAATCCCAGAAATCCCCATTCTGTTGTTTGCAAAATGGCGTCTGAAACACTAAAGTCAAATATCTTGTCTAAAAATAATCTTGTTTAAAGAAAAGAGCAACAAATTTTAATATTAACAAAACTCTTCTTCTTGAGGAATTGGTAATGGAAATTTTGATGTGTTAAACTCAAATTCTGACACTTTTTTACATTATTCGTGCATTAAACGATATGTGCACGGCATAAAAATGGGATGCTTACACCCATATGACATCAGGCATGACGTAAATAAACCAAATGACGTCAGCATAACCTCTTTTACAATAATAAACATTGCACTTTGATGTGTGATCATTTGACATGTGAGTTGATTGAGGAAATATATATAATGTAATTTAAACTCAGTGTCAGAAGCAAAAATAAATATGTATGAAGAATAGATTTATAAATAATCGTAACCAATTATCATTAGAATTTTTGCTTGGATTGGTTATTTTACGATATCTCAGAAGGCCCATTAACACTACTAGTAAGGAAACTGTACAGTAATGCAATATGGTTACAGAATAACATCCACACTAAGACACCTAAATTATAATACCTTACTGTATTCATTTATGTATCATAATGTGTTTTAAACCTGAACAAAAACAAATAATTTATGGTAGATCTTTCTAAATGTTGAAATACATTAAAAAAATTAACAATGTCATATAATTTAGAAGAAATCTCGATTGCGGCACATGTATAAGGAATTTAAATTTGTATTTTCATTATATCCTTTTTTGATTTTTTTGGGATATGTTTTTATTTAAATTTCGATTTTGGTTTAACCCTAAAAAAGATTTCACTTTCAAAATGTATTTCAGAATTTAATTTTTATGAAACCCCCCCTGTTTTAAATTTTTAACGGTTTGGGTTTAATCCTCATTTAAATTAACAGCGCATCAGCTGGGTTTAAAATTTACTTTTAAAAATTTGAGTTTAAATTTTAGCAACCGAATTTAACAAAAATGGTTAAAAATTTTAAAAAGTTTAGTTATTGAATTTTAAAGGGGGCGGTTAAAATTTTAAAAGAGCCCTTTAGAAAAATGGCCACTTAAACCCGTATCATAACCCTTTTAAACCCCCCAAAAATATTCTTTTTAACTGTTCAAAAATTTGGGTTGTTTTTAATTTTAACGCTTTCATTTTCAAACAAAAAAGTTTATTATTTTGCCCGAAAATATAAAAGAATTAGCAAATTTAAAAACCTGGTTAGTCTTTTTGGATAAAACCAAAGAAGGGGGAAAAAAAACTCCTAACCTTTTCTACATTTATAATTATAGTGTCATAAATGTAACAATGTCACATACGAATGTTACTATGTTACTAAAGGTGTAACACTATGACGATAAATATAACATGTTTTGTCACTCATATTGTACATAAAACAATTATTTTATCAATTTTATTGTGAAAATTTATACAATTCTGAGTCCTATTTTCTAAAGTATGAGGTGTTGAGAACATTTGATTTTCATCATCTGCAGATGGGCAGTATTAAGCTGATTTAAGACAATAAAACGCTGGAGAGCGCCGATGTTTTGAAATATATAATGATTCCACAATGCCAGATCCTTTTATTCTCTACGTGGCTTGGAAACTAGCATTTAACTCGAAAATTTAAGTCGCAAATATTTGCATGTCACGTGATTCATTGTAGTTGAAAATAAAACAAATACTCTGTTCCCCGTTAAAGAATGTAAAAAATAGAAACTCATTATTCACTGAATCCGAGAAAAAAGATGAAATAGATGAAGAAAAAAAACAATAACAAGATTATTAATTGACAATGAATAATGAGAGATGGCGCCGGTTTAAAAATAACAGCCAGGGGCCAGTTTCTCAAAGCTCTGTTAAATTTAACTGCCTGTTAAATTAACAGTCCGTTAAAATAGCTAACCGACTGTTACTTAACAGCCTGTTAAAAACGTGTTGCTCAAAACTTTTTAACAGGAGTGTTAATTAACACCCCTGTTAAATTTTAACCAGCTGTTAACAGGTTCATTCTATCCCATAATTCCTCATTCTGTAGTTTGCAAAATGGCGTCTGAGTCAAATATCTTGTCTAAAAATAATCATGTTTAAAAGATAAGAGCAACAGATTTCAATATTAACAAAAACTCTTCTTCTTGAGGAATTGGTAAATGGAAATTTTGATGTGTTAAACTCAAATTCTGACACAGTTTACATTATTCGTGCATTATGCATAAAAATGGGATGCTTAGACCCCATATGACGTCAGACATGACGTAAATAAACCAAATGACGACAGCATAACCTCTTTTACAATAATTAACATTGAACTTTGACCTGTGATCATTTGACATGTGAGTTGATTAAGGAAATATAATGTAATTTAAATTCTGAGAGATCAGTGTCAGAAGCAAAAATAATTATGTATGAAGAATAGATTTAAAAATAGTCGTAACCAATTGTCATTACAATTTTTGCTTGGATTGATTTTATTTTACGATAGATCTATGTCAGAAAGCCCATTAACACTAAAGTTAGTAAGAAAATTGTAATGCAATGTGGTTACAGAATAACATCCACACAAAAATGTTTTGATAGACACTTAAAATTGAAATAATTTACTGTATTCATTTATGTATCATTATGTGTTTTAAAGCTGAACAAAAACAAATATTTTTTTTTTAACTTTATTTCCCTCGTCATGGGTATGTGTGTGTGTATATATGTACATGTGTATATATTTGCTACTAAATAATTCTAACTTTGATGATTACGTGATGTTTAATTATATTTGAATGTATGTATTTTGTGACCATGTGCATTTTGTACACGTCTTATATGAATAAACTATCTATCTATATATTATTGTAAAAGTGTGAAGTTTTGATAAATACTCAATGCAACAAAACTGCACACTTTTACAATAATATATACACATGTACATACACAACACAATATACAAACAAACTCACAAGGGAAATAAAAGAAGAGAAAAAAAGGAAAGATAGATCATACATTGAACGGAGAAAACATACATAGGTGTTACTTATACTCAAACTTTTAACAACAAATAATTTATGGTAGATCTCTCTTAAGTGAAAAAACTGAAACAATGTCATGTAAAAGAAGAAATCTCAATTGCAGCAAAAGGAACTAGACCTATAAGGAATTTAAATTTGTTTTTTTCATTATATCTATTTTGATAATTTGCATATGTTTCATTTAAATACGACTGTCAACGCATAAAAATACAT